AAAACTGTTCAATCTGAAAGCTTCCACCTCCATATTTAACCGCAAGCTCCTGACCAGTTAAGCAGGTGTGAGCACAAAAGATGACAAAGGAGCCATGACCACTTATTGCTTGACTGTGGGAGGCTGTGCCAGAAGAAACTGCAGAGGCTCTGTCCTTTCACTGCAGAGCTCAGCTGTCAGCTCCATCTCCTCCTATGTGTTACCTTCTCCCCTTTCATTTGCATCAGCTGTTTGAAGCCAGAGTATAGAGTACATTCCAATTTCCACAAGCAAAGGCCCTCATGCGACTGTGTGTGGATATCTCTACTAAACAGTCAGTGGACGAAGAGAAGAGCAAATCCCAGGCTTAAAAGATACGCCTTTTAGATGCACACTTCCCTTTTGATGTCGTGGAGACCAGCCGAGGAGAGATATATGGAGGCCTCACTCTGAATGTGCTCAAGCCGTGCAAGCTTCTAAGCGCTCAATGTTTTCAGACTGCTTCTTTGCTCCAGTTGCCCCCCTAATCCATTCCTACATTTTGCATTTTCCTCAGTACTCCAAGTTTTAGCCTAAAGGACATTGGCAACAAAACATGCATGCCACCCTCCAGTTGCTCTCAGCGCACATTTTTGTGGTAAGATTCCTGCCGTCCAGCTTCCTGTACAAGAGCCAGTAAGGCTGAAAAGCAGAGAACATAATGAGAAAAAGAAGAAAACATCACAGAGTTACAAATGTAGGTCTGTAGCAAACTGACTCCCCTCTTTATCCTGCTGGGGACTTTTGGAAGAGAATTACTTTAGCAGGCAGTTGCTGGAATAGGTACACAGCACCTTGGCAACTTTGGGAGTCTTGGCTGGTATCCTGAGGGCAGCCTTTTAACATTAGTGATGTGTGATCAGCCGCTCATTGTCCCTGGTTTTACCCCATCCTGGCAGTGGATGCGCACACAGAGAGAGAAGGTTGGGAGTCCGCTTTCTTGTTGTTGGCAGTTCAGAAAAACGATGTCCATTCACAGTTTTGGAATTGAAGCACTCAGGGGGTTCGAGCGGACTCTTTCTGTTGGCTTACATCGGGGGAGTAAGTCTCTCTCTGCATTCCATTTCAGTGAGAAAGAAACAGTGTTTACACTGATGGGCGAGCTGAAGACGATATATTCTTATATGTACAGAAATGTGTATCAACTTCTCTTTGACACTGTTTGCAAGGAGCAAGGCATGTTTTGTGATTTTCTAAAGTGGTTTTAATCAGTAGTCTCCTGACTCTGAGGTTCTTCTGGTGTTTTCCATTTAATTTTGGTGGCTTTTAACTAATTTTATGAGCAGCCCTTTTTAACCGAGCAGGAAAGAAATCCCGCAATGTGAAATGAATGGGATATAACAATATTCAGAGGATCTGAGATAAGACCTAGAAGATGCAGCATCCTTTAGCAGATCAACTACACTTATTTGTCTAAAGGATCTTTGTTGTTATACTTACTCATAGAAAACTAGAAATAATGTAAAATGAGTTCCAATCACTAGAACTGGGAATATATTTTGACATCTAAAAGAGATTTTATCGCGTAATTGCTATTCAAATAGTGGCATTTCCCCTACATTAAGTGCAACAAACATTTTCACATCAATAATGTTAAGTTTTAAAGCTCAAAGGGATGGAACTCTGAATTTTCTGTACTGTTTTAGCCTTGCTGTTTTCTTCTGAAAGTCTTGCTCTCTCTTGTTGCCTGAATGAACCAGACATGTCTTAATCCATCATAAATAAATAGGTTCCTTAAAGAAACTTCCTAAAAGTGCCCACCGTTCTTCTTCACTCAGCAGCAGAGACAACACTGTAGAGTGTTGTTCAGGCAACCTGGTAGGTCTTATCTAGGGTGTATTTACTCACCCATTTTTCAACCAGCCAGTCATCAACCATGGCTAAACAACCTGGAAACGGTCACCATTAGACTTTTCTAAGCATGACCATATCACTGTTCTTTAAATTACTTAAAAGCAATCATATAAATAACTGTGAATAATGTACATTATTTATTAACATCGTGCCAATGTTTAAAAAAAAAGTTCAATGATTAATTGTTTTTTATGTTTAGACTGCCATTAGTTCATCCTGTGAGTTTAAAAACCTTCTTTAGTGGCCAAACAAATAAAAACCAGCCTGAAAGTGGAGAGGTATGAGAGGGCAGCCAAAGAGCAAATAAAAACGTTAAAAGACCTCCAGAGAGCCTGAAGATATACTGATATGGACTACTTAGAAACAAATGAGGAAAAAAAATCACTCCATGTAAGCAGAATACATAAGACTACAGAGACTTAAGACCGTAAAATAATGTAAATACAAACTGCTTTAAGAGAAAAAAAACTGCAACCTGGACAGAGTTCAACTTAATGTGTCAGCAAGTGATGGCAGCATCTATGTAAGCCTTCGGGAAAACAGAAGCTGTCTTCAGCACAACCAACAAGCAGGAGAGGGCAGCTAGAAACACAAAAACGACACTTTCTGTGAGTCCGCTACAGTCGTGCAAACAACTTATTTCAGTACTTAGACAGTGACAGAATGATGCGTTATTTTGAATGATGGGTCATGCAGCATTTAGCTGCACGGATCAGCCAAACTGGTATTCACTTGAAAGAGCATCAGAGAGGAACTATGACTCAGCGAAGCTCAGGGCACCAGGACCAAGAACCCCTTGTCCTCTGATGCCTCCATCACCACCAAGCACATCACCTCTAGGCACGAGGCATGTGAGCAGGGTGAGAGGGTGACACCAAGCTGGAAAAGAGGATGACAACAGGACTTATCCGTGTCACATGCCAAGGCTGACACCCATCTGCAAGCGCTCGCCAGCCTCTGGCCTCCACCGCACTCATCATCCACCACCCCCGCACTCCCTCCACCTCTTCTCACTGCCGTGACTTGCCTGGAGTGGGTACAGATGTGTGATCTACAGACGCTCCCACTCCGGAGCCCTTATTGGTGCCACAGGGTTTAACAAAGACTGGCTTCACGAGCTCAAGGCCAGAGAGTCACTGCACACAGTCACATCATTTCCAGGCAATTTTATGAGGGAGACTGAGGTGTTACAGCATCGCACAGAGCTGACATGATGGACCGTGATTAAACTAACCCAAAACCACAGCTTTAAATCAAAAAATCAATTCTGCTCCTGTTGCTGAATTTGTGGTCTAATTCAATTTTAGAAATTTCAGCAAATTAAATATTTAACCGTTCCTCTTCTTCTTCATCAAGGGCAATCTCATAGAAATGTATCTTATATCATAAAACAGCCCTGGGTAAATTTAGGACAGTGATATGACTGAGGGATTGATTAAGCCTATCTGACAGCAGCTCAGCTGAAATGTCCCATTGCTTCTATAATGAGACTGTCAGAAAAATTATATTCATCTCTGGAAATGGCTTTTCTGTTCTGGTCTCTGCACCCTGCTTTGGGAGAAACCACACAGCTGCATATCTGGAGCGTTTAGTGTTTACATAGCATTCAAAAATAAACAAAGCCAGAGCAGAGGCGTAGCTAGAAAATCCTAATAGAGGTGGCCAGTCAATAACCAATGTACATTGAGGGGTGGCCGAAAGACACCAGAACCTCAGGGTCAATCTACACTGTTCCAACAGGAACGAGCACAACATCCATATTTTCTGAATAAAGACAAACTATATTTTCCTGGAGCCTTTGCTAACAAATAGACGCACATATTTAAACATCTATGCCTTGTGGACAAAATTCTTTCAGGTTTGAGTTCTGAGGCGGACATAATTCAGTTGTCATTACCTACTTTTATCAATAATTATTCTGCAAAAAAAAAATTTAATCTACTAATATCCACATTTAATGAATTTTTATGTTATTATTAAAGTATTTATTTATCTCAGATTTCACTGAAGACTCCTAGATGACTTGCAGAGGCTCATAATTTTATCTTTACCCCAAATAATTCAAAATTTAGTTCTGAAAAGAGCATGAATTCTGTATCTATCATCTTTAATGGTTGTATATTGATGTGCATAATTAACTACAGTGTTTCTGTTGTCAAGTAGTTGTTAATATATAAAAAAAATAATAAAAATTTTTAATAGGTTTGAGCATTCCCCTTCAGAGTATTACTGTAACACCATCTGTGTTAAACCGGGTGTTCACTGTGCGATCCAGTCGTGCGAGAATTTTTGATCGTTCCAACTGTCAGCCTGATGGTGCATTGTGTAGTGTACAGGCGGTTACGAGGGGCGATCAGCCTCTCACGATCACGTCCTGATCAGGAATCGTGAGGTCAGGAATCGACCATCGTGGGCAAATCGCTCAGTGTGCGTGCGCAAACAAGGATTCTTGTTTTTCTTCTTCCTAATAGATGTAAACACAGGTGCATGGCGGGGGTGCAATGAGTGAAAATGATTTCTTTCTGTAAAATTAACAGACCGTAGTAGCCCCATTTGCTCAGCCATGTCTTTGTCCAAATACGTTGTCGCCTTTTCTTTTTAGGGCTTTCAGCGCCAAATTGCACAAATTGCCAAGGTAGAGCGTTTCATTCTAGTGAGCTTCATATACCCCTTCTATTTGTTTTGATTCTTGATAGAAAAGTCAGAGCAGCTCCATCTCACTGCGGAGCTGAGTCCGACCTCGTTTTTAGTCGTACAGTGTGACCAGGTAGATTACATGAGAGCGTCGGGCCGAACATACGTAAATCTTTTGCCCTGCGGTTTAGTCGAACAGTGTGTTGCAGTAGCTGCATGCAACGATTGAAAAAAAATCACACAGCGTACGCCCGGCTTTAGAGGGAAAAAATGGTAGGGCCATGGCCACCCCTGGCCCTCCATCTAGCTTCGCCCCTGAGCCAGAGGAAACAAAGCCTGTAGGCTATGTCTGCAGACATGTATACAATCATTTGATCAATGCAGTATGAAAAAAAGCTAATTCACTTCCTGTTTCTTGTTAAACCACCAACCACAGCATGCTGCAGAACTCTGCATAAGGAGCAGTTACTTCCTGCTCCTCCCTCCCTCCTCACCTCTTTGACTTTCTCCCGGCGGTCATTGGTCTTGGGGTCAGCCGGCCTCCCACCATCTCTCCCCAAAGCAGGTTTGGTCAGGCACCTTTGAAACTTCTTGAAATTAAAAGTATCCGAGTTGGCATCGTTGTCACCGCCAGAGACTCCCCCCAACAAGGAGTCCGCTCTGGACCTGGATAAGCTCAGGTCCTCCTGAGCTTTGCCTCCTGCCAGCCGCTCCTCCGTGGCTTCATTAGAGACGGATGGTTTGCGGCTCTTCAGCTCTCCTTTACCAGAGGCCAGGCCCCTGCTGCGCTCCACATCCTTGGGTCTTTTCAGGTGCTCCCTGACATCGTTCTCGGACCCTGAGCCGACGGTGACCGGCTGCGCTTCTGTCTTGGAGAGGAAAATGCGCTTTAGTCGGACGGAGTCCGGCAGGAAGAAGAGGGCTCCGAAGCAGAGAGTTACCAAACCGGAGAGGAAAAGTAAAAATACAAACTTCTGGGACAGGCGCAGACCCATGCCCGATGCTGACACACCGGGCAACTTTCGGAAAATCATTGAAAGTTTGATTTGAGGCTTTACAGAGGAGAAAACACCGTGCTTTGGTTAAAGCGTCTCTGCTGCCTCTGGGCTGTTGTAAAAAAAAAAAAACTAAATATACTGGACTCCAAACACCCCCAGTGGCTTTATCTCGCTATCGATTGGATTTGCATAAGTGAACGCAAGAACTGCCTCCTCCTACAGCTCTGGTATAGAAACGTGGTAACATGAAGGAGGATGTAACGTTAATAATAAACATAAACACTGAGCTTTTAAGGCAGATTGTTTATTAACACTCCAAGGTATAGATTTAAAAGCTAAATAAACAAACCCGCCCCTTAATGAAATGCCTTCTTAATGAGATAATGCTGTCTGAGAGGCCTTTGAACAAAGTTGGGGCTCAGTGCGTTATTATTCCCCGCCGCTCAGATCGGTATCCTTCGGTGCGAAGCGAACATCTCACCATCCTCCCCCCGGTCCCTGCTTCCACATCCTCCCCCCCCCCTAACGCTTCTCTTCCGAATATCGGTTTGTTTTAAGACAGATTCCGCGCCGCTTTGTTCGCCTCTATCCCCAATCAGCTGGTGGACGGAAACGCGTGGATAAACATGTCTCCTGCGTATCTGTCAGTTGCGCTCCTCCAGCTGCCTCCGGTTTCCCCCCTCTTCGTCGTCAAATCGCCGGGTGGACGTGGAAGAAGAAGGCGGGTTCTGTCCCATGTGAAGTTACCCCGATCCAAATCCGTGTGAGAAACAAAATCCACCATCCAATGTGCCGGTTTGCAACAAAAGGCAGGGAGGGAGGGAGAGAGAGAGAGATGCTGCTGCCGCGTCGTTGCTGCGCGCTGCCCGCCGCGCCGCTCTGGGATGCGCACCCTCGCTGTGCCGCGGACGTCTGCTTGCGTCGAAATTTGAGAGGAGAGAGCTGGAAATGTAACATATAGGGCAGACAGGGTGAGGAAGAGAAGAAATTAGGAGGAGGGGATGCGAAACGGTCCGCTGCGCGACAATCCAGTGGGCTGGTCTGATTTCTTGATGGAAATTCACAGCGGCTTATCACAACGCGCTTAATCCGTTTGATGAAAATGAGAGAGGTCTGAATGGCTCTGCTTGCTGGGATGATATCTACTCTACCGAGGTCTGATTAATCCAGAAAATCTGAGGTTATGTCTGCATCTGCTGCAGATGTTTGTCTCGCATAACAAAAACAAATGAATGAGCTCCGGGTCGATTCACTTCTTTGCCAAATTGTAACCCAATTTCTTATCTACGGGTTGCCATTTCGTCCCTTCTTAGCATACAAGACAAAAAATATATGCATGATATTCCTACAGTATGCATATAACTAAGGTATTTGTCACAATATTATTTTTTTTCTGAAATTATGAAGATGTTCTTAAATTTCACAGAATCTTGCATACAGCAATTTCCCCAAAACGCCCTACAGGTGGATCCGTGAACTAGAATATGGTTTGAAAAATTACTTAAGTATTATAATTCATTTAAAAAAGCATATAAATAGATCACACAGGCTGATAGGAGAATCACTATACTGAACCCTTCACTGCAAAAACGATCTAGAAATCAGCAGAAATGTCCTACATTAAGTGTATTTACCATTAATTTGAGTTATTAAATAAGATAATTTGCCAATGGAAAGAGTTGTTTTAGTGTTAAAATAAGATAATTAGATAATATGCACTTCAAATAAGATAAGGCAATTGTTTTTTTCATATTTTAAATGTAAAATTTCTTGTTCCATTGGCAAAGTGTCTCACTTACCTCCTCAATTCATGAAAAAAATTACTTATTTAGATTTCAATTTTTTGCAGTGTTGATGTAAATAGTAATAATTATGTCTTATGGCCAATTTAATCATTATAAACACAGAAATATCATTACAGTCACTAAACAAAATGACATGTGGAGGACCACTGACCTGACAGGTGTAGCAGAAAGTTGATAGGAAGGAAAAAAGTGTTTAAATAAAATGGTGCAAATGTGATAAAGATCTCTACTGAGGTCATTTAATAATTTGAAGAGTGATTCGGGAGATGGACTGATTGTTAGTGCTTTAAGATGGCATTAATAGATGCATCTAAGAGATGTGTGCTATGTTATCCCCTAATTTACACAGCTTATGTTTGCCCAGCTGTAACCTTTGGAAGAAATATACTAAAGTTATAATCAGTAGTGACATGTCTACAGAGAGCAGTTTGGCCATAAGCATGGGCAGCATTGTTGTGCATTTTGTAGCTCTGTTGCTTTGCACCAACAACACTTGGGGTTTGATTCGGATCCTACGGTGTTTATGCATGCAGTTTGCATGTTCTTTCTTTGCAAGTGAAGGTGCTCTCCAGCTTCTCTGAGTCCAAAAGCATGACTGTTTGGGAGATAGGTTACTCTAAATAGCCCCTAAGTTTGTGTTTTTATAGTTTTATTCTCTGTCCTGTGATTGACTGGCAACTTGTCATGACTGTACTCTGCCTTTTGCTCATATACTGCATTGACTCCAGCCTCCCATGACACTAACAGACAAGCGAGAGAAGATGGATGGATATAATCAATAAGAGCATTTATAGCGTCTCAACAGGGTGCCATATTTTGATTGTCAGACAGCATGTGCTTCATCTACACCGTTACGCTGATGATACTCAGCTTTATTAATCCATAAATCCTGATGAAACTAACTAATTATAGGGATCACAGGCATGTCCTGAAAACAAAAACCTGGACGACTCCAAACTTTCTGCTTTTGAATGCAGACAAAACTGTTGTAGTTATTGTCTTTAGGACAGAGTCATTGAAAAGTAACTAAGAGCTGAAATGAATGATAAAAAATAAAAGTTTTATTTTTCCTACATTAGCTTCCTGCTGAATTCAGAATAGAATTTAAAATCCTCCTTGTCATGTATAAAGCCCTAAACAACCAAGCCCTGTTGTATACTGGAGATTGGATTGCTGCATACATTTCTAACAGAGCACTTCACTCTTTTTCTGCAAATTTACTTGTGTTTCATAGAATTTCTAAAATCAGTTTTTAGTCCTGAGGCTCTTTCCCTTTAAAACCAAATACAGGTGAGTGAGACATCATGTCTGCTTTTACAACTTGACCTTAAAGGTTATTTTTTGATAAAGCTCATAGTTAAAGGGGCTCAGGTTATCCTGAGATACCTCAATAGTTATGCTGCTATAGGCCTAGGCTGCTGCAGGACATAGGGACCACTTCACATAATTCTGCTTTATTCCTGTGCAATGTCTCAGTCATCCAGGTCATACCGATTAATTGACAGGCTTTAATTGGAAGGTAATGATTCTTTTGCTCAGGAACACAAATTGTAATGCAACATGTGTAAATTCTCATTAATCCAGGCATGGCAACGACAAAATAGGCTTTATTTGGAGGGACACCATACTTTCAAGTCCTGTTTTGTAATTTCAATTTATTCTATCTCCATTCTACAGTATTTATTAGTTCAGCTGCTAATGGTGCGATCACACCACGTGTGAGACCTTAGATAGATAGATAGATAGATAGATAGATAGATAGATAGATAGATAGATAGATAGATAGATAGATAGATAGATTTAAAGAGAATTATAAAATAATTAAAGTATTTCTGATTCTGAATTGGCAGACATTTCATTTTAGCTTTTGCTGAGAATTTCTTTTTTTCCTTAACTTTTCAGACCATACTATTAGGAGACTTGTTTCTCGTCTGGTGATAATAAGATGTTAACAAGCTGCATGTCTACAAGGTCTCCAAATACATGATGCATTCTGATAAATCACACATTACATGAGCTCGTCCAATGAAGCTAAAATAGTTTTTTGACTTCAGTTGATCTCCATTTGATCTGCTGTTTCTGTAGCTGTAAATCTCTCTACATGGCCCTTATTTACGGATTTAAATATTTCAGGCACTACTATGAATCTGAAATCAGTGACGTGACTGAACAGCTACTGGGTTCACACCATCTCTGCAGCTTGCATGCCGACATCTCCATCAATAAACCAGCATCTGCTTCTAAGGAGTATCTAGTGTTAAAAGAGCCTGTAGTTATTGTTTGGAACCCTGTCCGGTTTTATCGTTGAAATTCTAATTCAGAAAAGCTCAGACTGAGCACATTGAATCATGATATTGAGTGGTCTGGCCAGCACACAATGTTCAGGCCAAAGAGTGAAATAGCATTAGAAGAATGTGTGTCTTTAAATTCTATTTGAGTTAGGAGAACAGAGGGGAGACTGTAAACATCATGTTTTCTCATGATTAAATAAGATAGATGGGCAGATAAATTGTCCATTAGTGAAAAGCCTGCACAGCAGTATTGCTTCTAAAAGCAGTGAGCTTTCAGGCGCATCAAGGCCTTTATCTTTTTTTTTCTGGAACTGAAAATCAATTCCAGATCCTTCATCTAACCCCAGTAAACCACCCGAAGGCTTTATAAATACACCATATAATGTACACAGTCAGTGTCACTGATGTCCGTGCTATTTTCTAAGATGTATGATAAAACTTTGGGAACCAAGCCACCAGATTTTCCTCTTGCTTTGTTGTTAAAATGTTTAAAACAATACTTGACTTTCCTTGGCCTTCCAGGTAAGAAATCACATTTAACAGATCTTATCATATCCTAAAAATAAAAAAACCTCCAATAGAAGGCTTGAGTACCATCTAACGAGGGAAAAAACTCCTCCGGCGTTTTCTCACTGTTTTTCTGTCCCAGTCAGGTACATATTCAAGGATGAACTAACTTTAAGGCAATTCGTATTCCATTTGGGTCTCTGTTTTCACCCGTCAGTGCGCCGGCTGCTTGTAATTCAGGGAACAGAACAGGATAAAGCAGACACGATTGTTGAATTAGTCTTTTTAGTTTGGGATGTGGCAGCGTTTCCTCCTAGAGAAGGTACATCTATGAAGCATTTACTCAGTTTATCAGCGACAAAATGACTGTTTGTATTTAGAAAAAGTCATTTTGTGGAGGTCTATTCTAAGAAGAATATACCTTGAGTTTATTGAAATTACTGTTTTTTTACGGGATACATAATCTGCATCTCAAACACATGATTTAGGGTTTTAGGAAAAGTATTAGGACTGTTTTAAAAACTGTTACATATCTGAGCTTAAATCTCAATCATATACTGTCAAATATGCAGTGATGGGAAGAGCTACTTCCCTCCCACATTTCTTCTTTCCCTATTTAGTTCTTATACATTATTTAATATCCGAGAGATAACCTGACTAGATACCAATGCAGTTTCTAAATGCTGATTTAATCTATTCAGGGAGAATGCTTTCCTCACCTCATTGTCTCCTCTATAAATAATGTAACCTCATGATTACCCTTGGTTTTCTTACTCAGAACTGAAAACTATCAGATATGTAGAAGAAATCATATAATCATATTTTTTAATACATGAAATAAAGCAAAACATCTTAAAACAATCCTATACACCACCACAGTGTCAATTTCTGATATGTGCANAATAAATCATATAATCATATTTTTTAATACATGAAATAAAGCAAAACATCTTAAAACAATCCTATACACCACCACAGTGTCAATTTCTGATATGTGCAACATGAACAATCCAGTTTTCTTTATAAGAGTTGAAGAAAAGGAGAGCTTTTTTTCACATTTTTAGTCTACATGTTTAGCAGAGCAACTGAACAGACACATTGGAGAGCAGTTTAAAGTTGTTTTTAGAGGTGAAGAGTACATACCTGTACGCTGCCTTTAACCACAGCTACGACTCCTCCTGATGCCACCCTCCTTATTCATGTGTGTTAATGGGAAACACCTGTGAAGGAGAGTGAAGGCAGGAAAAAACAACTCTCCACAAAATCACAAGGGACAGACACCATAACACCAGTTATATTCACTTATGTTATATTTAGAAGAAAATTTACTTTATGAGTCATTTTACCATAATTTTTTTAATTACTTGAAATGTTCTTTTAAAGTAACATTAGTCCTACTTGGCCCTGAGATGGACTGGCGACATGTCCAGGGTGTACTCCATCTCT